GTTTCTGTGAGTATGTGTGTGTGTGTGTGTATCTGTGCATCTGTGTGTGTGTGTGGGGGGGGGGTCTCTGTGTGTGTGTGAGGCACCATATTTCCCAGCATGAATGGATCTGCTCTCTGATTGGCTGTCTGATTCTGCTCTCTCTTAAGTGTGTCTCAAGTGCCCTGCGGAGCCCCAATCGGCCCATCTAGCATAAAGCAGGGCCCCGGTTCACAAACACACAAACATCACTAATATCCATTAAAACAACATCATTCAGTGTAAGACGCCGCTGATTAACAATCCTCACCGCCGTCAACATCAACCAATTTCACACACACACACACACACACACACACACACACACACACTAACTATAGTTTTTAATTAATATTTCAAATCAGTTTCATTTTTTATATTTTCCATTTTAATTTTAGTTAAAATTGTACTTGAAATTTGACATTTTTATTAGTATATCTCTATAGTTTTTATATATATTTTTTTTATTTGTATTAATAATTTGAATTATTTTTTATTTTTATATTTTCTGTTTTCATTTTAATTTTAGTTAAAGTTTAAGTAATTTTGTTGTATGTTTTTGTCATTTTATTAGTTTTTTTAAATATCATTGTGTTTCTAAATATCTCTTTAGTTTTTGTTAAATAGTTTTTAGTTATTTTTGTACCAGTGTTATTTTAGTATCATTGAGATACTATTATAGTTTTTATTAATATTTTGAATTATTTTTAAATTTTATATTTGCTGTTTATATTTTAATTTCAGTTAAAGTTTAATTTTAAGTTTTAGTAATTTTGTTGTCATTTTTATTAGTTTGCGCTTTTCTTTTTTTTTACATCTTTGTAGGTTTCAGTCATTTTTATTCCAGTTTTAGTTATTTTAGTACATCAAGTAAAACTTAATTAAAATGAGAAATGTTGCCTTGGAAACTAGCTGAAATTTTATTTTGAATCAGTTTTGTTTTATTTCAAGTAATAAAATGTCTTTATGGTTTTTGTTTTATTAAACTATAATAATCCTGATTCAGACTGAGTCTGTTCATCTGCGTCGTCTCAGTGAGAATGTGGGTTAATTTAACAGGGAATTAGAGACTCTGAATCGATATGAAATTATTTTAAGGGAGTGTCCTACGATACATGTGAGTATTGATGTGGGAATGAACACTATTAAAACACACACTGATCCTGCAGCAGCCCGGGACAAAGAAGCAGGACAATGGAGCCCGTCTGAAGGGATATTTACAAGATTTACCACCCAAATCTCATGGAAAGCACGCTGAGGTCAGCCTGGCCCCTTTACATCCAAACACACACAGGACGGTCTCCATGGCTCTGAGACTTTAGAGAGAGACAGACAGAGCGTGTCAGATGTGCCGCCCACAGACTCACTGCAGCCGGATCACATTCAGGGCTCCTATCACAAATAAACAACTAACAGCAAAAACAGCTTCTGTGCTTCACATAAAATAAACATGAACTAAAATAAAATAAAAAAAATATATATATATTTCATCTCAGCTAAAAAAACAAAAAACAGAATTACTAAAACTTCAACTAAAATTAATTATAATGAAAAGGGAAAATGAAAACAGAAACTATTTCAAAATATTAACATAAAATATACAAATATATTAATAATACTAAAACAACAACAAAATTACTAAAACTTTTACTAAAATTAAAATTAAAAGGGAAAATATAAAAAAAAACGACTTTAAAATATTAATAAAAAAATATAATAGTAAATTAGGGATGCTCCGATCCGCCTTTTTCACCTCCGATACCGACATATAGAAAAATTAAATAAGATATGGCTCCTACACCCAGCCCCTAATTGAGGGTTTAAGCATCAATTACAATAAATTAAATGTAAATGGAGCCAAATATGCATATACAAGGAGAAATAATACTCATCTTTTAATCTTCATCCAGTCGTTCTAAGATTCAGTTCTAGTTTTCTGCATCTTCTAACAGCAGGCAAAGTTTGGTAATAGGTCTTTCCAAGAAACCAGTCTTTGTCTTAAGTTTAACATTTCTTATGAGTCCTTTGGAATCAGGTAAAACTTCTGTTACTCTTCCAATAGGCCACGATCCACGAGGTGCTGAACTGTCCACAACTAGGACAATATCTCCCCTCTGCAGTCCTCTTTTAGTAGTAAACCATTTTTGTCGTTCCTGTAGTAATGGTAAGTACTCTTGGGACCACCTCTTCCAAAACAGGTCAGATAAAAATTGTACTTGCCTCCATCGACGTCTGATGTATACATCTGACTTCTTAAACAGTCCAGGGGGTAAAGTAGGGCTAGACTTTAGCAGGAGAATGTGATTTGGTGTCAAAGGTTCAAGATCATGATGGTCATCAAACAATGTGGTAATGGGACGACTATTCAAGATTGATTCTACCTCACAAAAGAGTGTTTGTAATTCTTCATCATCAAGGGTGTGGTGTTGCAAAATAGAGCATAAGATCTGCCTCACCATACGAATGAGCCTCTCCCATACTCCCCCATGATGTGAGGCTCCTGGAGGATTAAACGTCCACTGAATTCCTTTCTGGAGCATTGCCTTCTGGATTGTGCTTTGGTTCCAGTCTGAAAGTGAATTATGTAACTCTCTTTTTGCACCCACCAGGTTAGTTCCATTATCAGATCGAATATGCAGCACTTGACCTCCTCTGGCTATGAATCGTCTTAAAGCGTCAATGCAAGAATCTGTGGTCAGTGAGTGAGCCATTTCTAGGTGAACATTCAAGCACTTTCCAACAACTGATGCCTTTTCAATTCTTGACATTTCTTCTGCATACCTTTGTTTCTGGTAAAACTTGACAATAGCCTTTTCTGCTTTCAAGAGATCATCCAAGCTTATGGATTGCGCTCCAAGTGATGTCTTGAATGCTTTAAATTTGTCACATACCTTGTTTGGGTTCTTGGTGTCCTTATTCACGCAGGCTACCTGGATTTCTTTCCTTTTTGCACTAAGCAATCGAAGGACATTCTTGAACTTTAAGAACTATGCTACTGCTATCTTTAGCTTTGTCCAACTTGAAAAGTAGTTAAGTAGTTGGCTGGTAGGATTTTCCTTGACTTTAAGGACAATACTGTACACAGTGGTGTTTCTTTTAACTTCAATTCCCTCACAGTTTAATAGTAATGACTTTATGAATTTCTTCACTGATAAAATAGATAACATCAGAAATAAAATAACAAATGTAGATTCTGCAGCGTATAATACTTCAACTTCATTCATCGCACCAAAAGATAAACTGCAGTGCTTTACAACTATAGGACAGGAAGAGCTAAATAAACTTGTTTTGTTTACAAGCAGATACCCTGTTTGTAGTGGTAAAAACAAGCTTCAACTTTCCAATTTTGTCCCTTGTTTCTTGGCCACTGTGGGAGGTGTTGATGCAATATTCCGACGCGTGCAAAGCACCATGAATAGATCCAGAAAGTCTTGTTGAAGTTCCAAACAATAACTGAAGTTTATTAAACCAAAATTAACTTGAATTGCAACATAAAACAAACAAACAACTTAAAGGCTAATTGCAGGCTTGTTGCACCATGCCATTAGCTCCATGCGCACGGTCGAAAGACTGTATGCTCTCGCACCAGCGCCCCCCTCGTGTCAGGGGTGGCATATCCTTTTAAATATTTTTCCCTTCACACCTATAGAGGGCACACACTCAGAGAAATAAACATATAGAAAAATTAAATAAGATAGTAAGTATGGCTCCTACACCCGGCCCCTAATTGAGGGTTTAAGCATCAATTACAATAAATTAAATATTTCTTTCTCAGTTGTGAGAGAACATGATTTCTGCCAGCATGTCCAAGCTGCTCATGTATGTGCTGAAGGATAAGCGTCGAGATGTGAAGATCTTTTGGGAGTATTATTGGTCGCTTTGTCTCCTCAGCCATTGCAGACTTGTTTAACCTTCCTCCAAGCCTTAAAACTCCATCATACATCACAGGATCTAGCTTGTACAAGCTGCTGAAACGATTCAAGCACTTTCCAACAACTGATGCCTTTTCAATTCTTGACATTTCTTCTGCATACCTTTGTTTCTGGTAAAACTCGACAATAGCCTTTTCTGCTTTCAAGAGATCATCCAAGCTTATGGATTGTGCTCCAAGTGATGTCTTGAATGCTTTCAATTTGTCATATACCTTGTTTGGGTTCTTGGTGTCCTTATTCACGCAGGCTACCTGGATTTCTTTCCTTTTTGCACTAAGCAATCGAAGGACATTCTTGAACTTTAAGAACCATGCTTCTGCTATCTTAACTTTGTCCAACTTGAAAAGTAGTTAAGTAGTTGGCTGGTAGGATTTTCCTTGACTTTAAGGACAATACTGTACACAGTGGTGTTTCTTTTAACTTCAACATCATCAGGTGAGAGTGACACAGTTACCAGGGACTATTTAGGCCATTCCTCTTCTTTCTTCCATAGAAAGTCTGGTCCATGGATCCACACTCTGCACTTTACCAATGTGCTGGCACTCACCCCTCTTGATGCCAAGTCTGCCGGGTTCTGCTTGGTTCTGATAAATTTCCACTGTGTTACATCAGTGTTTTCTCTGATAACAGAGATCCCATTTGCGACAAATGTGTGGAATCGTGCATTCTCATTTGCGATGTATTTCAGTACTGACTGACTATCAGTCCAAAATGTTGAGCTTTTGAGATCTAGCTCCAATGCTTTCCCTAGCATAACATTCACTCTGACTGCTAACACTGCAGCTGTCAGTTCTAGATGTGGAATTGTCACTTGCTTAAGCGGAGCCACCCTGGCTTTTCCCAACATGAAAGACACATGTACAGTGTGCATATCATCAGTCAGTCTCAAGTAACTCACTGTGCCATATCCTTGCTCACTGGCATCAAAGAAATGATGCAGCTCAGCTTGCTTCTGTGTTCTGAAACCAATTGGCTTTATACATCGTGGCACCCTGAAATTTTGTATTTCATCAAGATTCTTTATCCACTTTGTCCACTTTTCCACTGCAGCTTGAGGTATTTCCTCATTCCAACCACATTTGCTCCTACAGAGACCTTGGAGAAGCAATTTTGCAGTTAGAGTAAATGGACTCAAAAATCCAAGTGGATCATATATGGAGCTTACAACTGACAGTAAGTCTCTTCGGGTGTGGGATCTGCACTTAACAGTGATATTGAACTTAAACATGTCATTCTCCACGCACCACAACAATCCAAGTGCTCTTTCAGGGGGAAGCCTTTGGAATATGTGCAAGCACAATGCGACTGTTACTCACCCATTTTGTGAGATGGAATCCTCCTGTTTGACAGAGAGATGTAAGGTTGTAACGATCGGCCTTATTGGAAGATGTTACTTTGTTAAAAAGGGGTCAGATTATACTATGTGAGAGCTTTGAGTGTTTAAAAGATGAGACAGACAACAATGTTAAAAGTGAAAATCAAATATGTATTTACAATATTCACAAGAGACTTAAAACAACACAAAACTAGAATAACTTAGGCTGTTAAAAGTACAGAGTCTTTCAGTTTCATACCATTAAAACAGTCCTTAAGAAATCCAGTGTGTTGCTAGTCCCAAAGTGAATGTCCCCAAAAGTGTCCACCGGTGTATATACAAAAGTCCACTGTAGTGTTAATCCAAAGTGCTGGAAAGGTAAGTCCACAAAGGTAACTCCACTATTCCAGTTTGCAGGTGATCACCACTTGGTCGTAATGAGAGCAACGACCATGCTTGTTTGACATGCTGCCTCCTTTATGCTGTCCATTTCCTACTTCCTGTCATGTGATCAGTCACATGACAGGCAGACCCAAACTCATTTAAAGACATACACACATTAAAATGGTTAAGAGGAATAAAATGGCTAAGACAACATGAAAACCTATTAAAACTCAAATATACATAAAATAATAAAAAGTATATTGAGCAGGTTAAAACATGTGTCCTGTGTGACAGTGTCACATAGTCCCCCCCCTTAGTCTATGACTCCCGGGGGAAGGAACTAGCCCTACAAGGTCCTGTCAGCCATTGTCCCTGTGGTAGGTGTCCTCTTGAATGTGTGATTTAAAATGTCTTTGTAATAAATAAGGTAAAACTAGGCTTTGCCACACAGGCTCTAGTCTGCCGGAGGAATTTAGGCGAACACTAGAGAGAGGTTGAGTCCCATACCAGCCTGGGTGTCCTAAGGTAGGTGGCACCGATCCTCCCAGGATGACGTTGCACCCAGCCACGCTGGTCGGCCTGCCCCCCCTGGCGTTTCCTCCAAACCGGCTTGGGGGTCTTTTTGATGGATGATGTTGATGCTGATGAACGGGGATGAGGTGGATGATCAGGTGGTTTCTTGGTAGGGTTGATGACAACACACTCCTTGGCCTCCCCACCACACGGCTTGCAGTCCCGGACGAACGCCCAGATATCACTGTGGACTGAGGGCCACCAGGCAACTTCCAGGATCTGCAGAAGGGTCTTTAAACGCCCATGGTGTTTCTCTGCTGTCCTCTGGCGGAAGTGCTGTACCGTCTGCTGGACCAGGTTCTTAGGAATGACGAGCTGGATCTTGTAGACGTCGTCCCCCTTCTGGATCCGCCGGTAAAGCAAGCCCTGGTGCTCCTGCACTTCGATCCTGTTGGTCGGTGGAGTGGAGGGAGAGATGGAAAGTCCCTGGAGAGTGCCGTCATCACCCTGCGCGCTGCTGAGTTGCTCTCTGGAGAAGGGGAGGATGGAGAAGCTGTGGTTGAATTCTGGCCCAGCTGGAGTGGTGGCGCAGAATTCTCCATCGGTCGCTCTGTTGGTTGTCCATGAAGTGGTAGATGTGCAGGGATGGTTGGCTGGAGGAAAGCCAGGGGTTGACGTGGGCGGCACTGGGCTGGTCGTCGCAGTGGGAGGAGAGATGGTGGCTTCTAGATCCTTTGTCTGCTTCAGCTGTTTCGCCCATTTCTTGTCTCTCCTCTTAAAACAGTCGATGACCTCTCTCTCTAGTGTCGCCACGGCATCCTTGATAGATTCCTCCACTTTTTCAAATTTAAAATCCACAGCCTCTCTAAAACACACTTCACGGTTAAGATTACTTCCAACAGAGTCTTTAAAATCCTTCTCCAAGTTTAAAACAATGTTTTTAAGAGCAACCAACTCAGCGCGAAGCTGTACACACTCACAGTGATGTAAAACCCGTTCATCATTAAAACCAGCAGATGTATTAAAAGAAGCAGCATTAACTTGCTTTGTTGTCATCTTAAAACACTCTTCTCAACACAGCGTTAAAATCTTCAAACGTTCCCCGTACGGGCCACCATATGTAACAATCGGCCTTATTGGAAGATGTTACGTTTGTTAAAAAGGGGTCAGATTATACTATGTGAGAGCTTTGAGTGTTTAAAAGATGAGACAGACAACAATGTTAAAAGTGAAAATCAAATATGTATTTACAATATTCACAAGAGACTTAAAACAACACAAAACTAGAATAACTTAGGCTGTTAAAAGTACAGAGTCTTTCAGTTTCATACCATTAAAACAGTCCTTAAGAAATCCAGTGTGTTGCTAGTCCCAAAGTGAATGTCCCCAAAAGTGTCCACCGGTGTATATACAAAAGTCCGCTGTAGTGTTAATCCAAAGTGCTGGAAAGGTAAGTCCACAAAGGTAACTCCACTATTCCAGTTTGCAGGTGATCACCACTTGGTCGTAATGAGAGCAACGACCATGCTTGTTTGACATGCTGCCTCCTTTATGCTGTCCATTTCCTACTTCCTGTCATGTGATCAGTCACATGACAGGCAGACCCAAACTCATTTAAAGACATACACACATTAAAATGGTTAAGAGGAATAAAATGGCTAAGACAACATGAAAACCTATTAAAACTCAAATATACATAAAATAATAAAAA